GAGAAATTGAAAGCGTTTATTTTACATCAAAGAAAGAAGAAGATCGAAGGTTTGTATTCGTTAATATATAAAATCGTCACTAATTTTTGCATCCTTGGCGCATTATCGCATTCGATTGTGGCATCAGCTGTTCCACAGCGATGGTTAAAATTGGTTGAGCATGAAGCATTTACTCCTCCCCATGAGTTTCTCATGTGAAAACGGGAACATGGCAGACATTGACAATGGTGCCAAGAAGAACAAAGAGGGGACAGCTGTGCTTTCGAGGAGGCATACTTCCAACCGCGATGCAACCGTAGTTTACTACGGCAAAAGGAGTGAAAAGTTGCGAATACAGGTGTCATCACTAACCAACAGTGTTATGCTTATAATAATTGCTTAAGCCGATGATCTCAACAAACACAACCAATCATGCATTTAGACCCTTATGTCAATAACCTGTTGCCTTTGGCGATGGCTTCGTTGTTCTGTTCCACAATCGGTGTTCCTGATTGAGCAAGCTAAGTTCATCAGTTGCGGAATAGCACGATTCAGTTCATGGTGTCAACTTAGTGATTGAATTCAGAATGGTTATGTTTGGAATGAGGTAAATCAACATACAGCCATCCCCTGAGGGGCAATCAGCCACTACAACTGTGGGCTGTGTTGGGAACGAGACCCTGACAGTTAAAAAATGTTCAGAAGTTTGATCATCGTGCTAGTCTACTTACAGAATTTGTTCTGGTATCCCATGCATGCTTTGTTTGATTTGGGTAGGGGAGCGCAGAGCTCAATGGATTGGGTTTGAGTTGAGTCTGCTCGTTTATCTACCATTGGAGTGAGGATACCTGCGATCATGGCCATCTGGGTTCGTCATTAGGATATGTATTTCAAATAATACTCGGCAGCGTTAAGCTAACTACGAACAGCTTCACTTTATCGATTCCAGCTTTCAGTGATTTCCCCACCCTCGCATTAAAAGTTTCAGGTTTTTAATTTGAGGTGTTTTCAAGGAGGCACTGAATGCACTGCATCTTCTACGAAGAAAATGTTGCGAAGAACATCCAAAATGGTTATTTAACGGGAATGCGAGACGATATTTTTCTTCAACGTAGCTTTCTTTTAACGTGAATACTTCTCGATCGCCATATTTTATTCTGAAAGCAGGATTTGAGTTCGTTTCTTTCTGCAAGAAATTGCCACATTTTATAGATAGCGGGGGAAGGACTTAGTCTGTCAGAACTCTTCTAGGTATCTGTTTGCTTTGCCACAGTTTTTATTCCAGCTTCTTTTGGATGATGGCAAACCAATTCCCATTGAAAGACAATCGCCAAAAAATTGTCATTAATTGTAGCTGATTAGCTAATTTTTGCGCCTGATCAATGAAGTCCTAGAATTTGATGATTTCTCTGCACATTAATAATAAAGAATAGTCGTCCATAGGCGAGAAGATACAGCTTATTCATAAGTGTTTGCGGACCTAATTGTAATTGAGAAGTATGATGTACGTTCGCCGGCGCAGTACAAGGACATCACACATTCCTAACCTCACTATCTGCCATCAGAGTGCATGAATTTGGGCACTTGTCATATTCTCGTTTGGAATGAATATAAACTGTAGCCTGATTACTTTCCTGTTTTCAGGTTTCGGAGTTACTTGTGTTTCTCCGTTTTGTTGTTTCCCCAAATGTTCTATGATCCATTAATTCGGTGGATGAGTTTACTGCTTTGTAATATTGCTATCGAACCTTCGTGCAATGAAATCCGACCGGCAAAAGGCCCAGGGGACGGCCAAGATTAATCTGGTGCAAACATATGGAAGGAATCTGTTCCAGACTCCATTTGCCTTTTGCCGAAGCTCAGACTCTGGCACAGGATCGGGAACGTTGGAAGCACTG